TGCTGAAGCAGGCTTCCACGAGCTACAGTCCTGACGGAAAAGGTAGCCCAGACCCCTGCCGCCCTGCCCTGCGCAGGACCTGGCTTTTCCTCCTGTGCGTCGCCTTCTTTCAGCGGAGTCTCTGTGGTTTATCACAGCTTTTCTGATCAGAACAAAACCCCATCGCTCTCGTTCTCTTGTTCCATAACTCCTTTGCCTGGTTTTTGCTGGGATTTGGAGCTGTTTCTCACCAAAGGTGTTTTTCCAGCCCTGTGCAGGCAGGTGGGAAGAGGCAGGAGGCGCATCCCCGGGGCAGCAGCTCCCGGACAGGACAGGGCAGGCGAGTGGCCAACATGGCCAGCAGCCTGTCCTTGCTGAAAGCACAGGGTCCCTGTCACTGGAGGCTGCGGTTCATCTGCCCCCACCGCTGGCTTCTTGTGCAGTAAGAAAGAGGATGCTGCCCCGAGCTGTCTCGTTCAGGTCCTGACCCAGCCCCTCACAAACCCGTTCTCTCCTGAGGCTTTTCCCTGTGGCATCACCTTTAGAGTCCCTGTCAGGCCACTTCTGTCTCTGCTGTGAATTGTTCCCTGCACACCAGCGGGGATTTTCCCCAGGGGAAATGTCAGAGCAAACGGCGAGGCTCTTGGGTTTGTGTCCGCTGCCTGGGTTTGGTTAGGTGCAGTCAGAAACCTGTTGCTGTATTTGCTCTGCTGTTCCACTGCTTAAATTGCTGGGAAATGCACTCGAAACCAGTCTCTTAACATGAACTGTGTTAATTCTTCTTCGGAAGAGATCGTTTAAAGCTTCCTCTGCAGTGAGATGGGGAAAGCAGGGCCACATAATCTTGAAGCAAACCTCTGGCTGTTCTGTAGAGTCCAGCAAACGGTGCCAGTACGTGGGATTAAAATAGCACCAGCCCCGGGTGTGGGTCCGGGCTGGCCCCTTCCCCGGGCTCTGCGGAAGGGTAAGTGCTCCGGGAGAGCGACAGGAGCTCTGACTAATGTTAGAGAGCTGGACATGCTTTAAAGATGTTTTCTGGCTCAGACCGCGGGGCCTGAGGAAGGGTCTGGTCCTTCCCCTGCCCCAGGGAGAGGCGATGCCCATGCTGGGCGAAGCTCAGTGTAGTGCAGAAGTAGGTAAAAGCCCCGGTGGCATCCAGCGCAGCATCTGCAATTCTGGGTACGACGGAGGGCTGCTGCCCTTGCCAGGACACGGACTTCTGTGTGAGAAATAGCTGAAGCAAAACGCCCTTGTTGCCCGTCAGCGCCGCGCCGCCCCGCTCTGCTCTCGCGCCTTGGCTCGCTGCCGTCTGACGAGCCTCTGCCCAGCGCCGGCCTGACACTGCCGCAGAGGAGCACACGGATTCCTGACTGCCGTGAGCTGGGAATAAATTATCAATCTGATCAATGCCACCAGCTGCCTGCCTGCACGTCGGCGGTAAGCGGTGCACCAGCATCTCCATCGGGGAGAGCGGGCGCTGCATCAGCGCCGTGTCGGGCGCGTACGGCCCTGGAGGGAGGCTCAGGGCATGGCTGAGCCTGAGCCAGGGTCCAGCTGGGCTGCGCCCAGAGCGCCTGGAAGGCCACGAGTTGATTACTCACCTATGAATCAAATTTCTTGCGTTCCTGGGAGAGCTCGGGCCGCCGTCAGCCTGAGCCTGTGCAGCCGCCTGTACCCGCAGCAGGACGGCCGGGGCCGCCTTGGGTCGGAGCAGCTGGAGGTGTGAGAGGTTCTGGGGGGGGCCAGGGGCTGCGAGCTTTGCTCTGCAAATGGGGGCTGCAGTAAGTCGGGGCTGCAGTATTGTACCGGCTCATTTCAGACCAGAAACCTGCTGTCAAGTTGAGAGGCAGAAGCCGCTGCCTCTGCTGGGTGGGTGCTCGCAGGGTTCCAGGTCAGGCGGCGGCCCCTCGCCTCCCCTGGCTCTCAGAGCCCTCCTTTGGGGGTCCCCAGGGCACACGCATCCCCCTGCTCGCAGGGTGACGGGTCTGCGGCAGCGCTGACTGGAAAGGTCAGAGCCTCTCCATGCAGCAAAACACCCCGAATGGCATTTTCCAGTTCTGCTCCAAGGCAAGCTTTTTCTGCCCTGTTCTTCAGGGACGTGCTGGTAGGATGGAGGAGGAGCGCCTTTTCTTGGCAAACTTCTTTTTAACCATTCTTGTTTTAAGTTTCTCAGCATCTGCATATGCAGTGATCTCGTCATCCTTGTCTCTGTGGTACAAAAATAGTCTCTTTGTAAAATGACTTCAGCCTTGTTCGAAAATGATATCCAGAATTTCCAGTTTCTGGCACCTTCTGAAGCACCAGTCAAGGTGAAACGGGCCCCCACCCCCTGCACCCCGGCAGCCAGAGAAGGGGCTCTGCCTCCCCCTGCCCAGCTGCTTCCATCACCCCCCACCCTTTGGGCCCTCTGGGTGCTGGCTCTCCCCAGAGCAGCCCCTCGGGGGTGGGAGCAGAGGGCGAAGCCCGAGGTGCCCCCATGAGGGGTCTGGCTCCCCCCAAGCGGAGGGTCCCTGCTCCTGGGGTGCCGGGGGGGCTGCGGGGAGCCTGCGGCCACTCGGGTGCCAGCAGGCTCTTGCCGCCGCAGCGCGGCTCGGCGCACACTTCGCTCCTCTAGCTCAGGGCTTTTTAAGTCTCGGTTCCAGTGGGAATGTAACATCCTTCGCATGAAGTGGAACTCGTCTCATTTTGCACTGAGCTTGTGTTTTTTATGAATGACTAAAGCTTTCATTTGCCTAAACAGGAATATCTGTTTCGAGAAGGGAACACAGAAACTGGAGCACTCGGGGGCGATTCCTCCCCGTGTCACACGCTGGGGTTTGACTGGCACGTGGCTTCTGCCAGAGCTGCCCCCGTCCCGCTGCCGACGGGGGGTCCGCGTGGCCGGCCGGTGCCCGACCACCCCCGGGGTTGCCCTCCTGGGCGGCGGGGGGCTCCGCGGGACGCGTGGTTCAGCGCCCGACCAGAGGCCTCCTTTCTCCTGGGACGGTGCCAACAGAAAGTTTTTCATTTTCTGGGGTGCCTCATCGCCGGGGGGGGTGTCCCGGGCCTGTGGGCGCTGCCCTGTGCCTGCAGGCGTCGGGCTGCGGGGAGGGGGCTCCCCCCGAGGAGGATGCTCTGCTGTACCAGTAAAGCTGCTTACGGGGCTGCTCCTGACCTGCCCTACAGACAGAGCTCAGGTTAGAAAACCCAGCAGGGAGAGTTTTCAGGGGCTTACAACACGTCCAGTGGAAGGATCCGACTAAACCCGTAAGCCTCTTTGAAAGGTGTGTGTGTGTCATGGTGCCCTGGGCAGCAGAGCTCGGGGTTACCCTGCCTGCAGTCTGCCTGCCCGAAGCTTTCCGGGGGGGGGAAATTCTCCCCCTGCCTCCTCTTCTAGCCTCAAATCCAGGTTTACGTTGTCCTGTGCTCTCTTACATGCCTGGGGAATGCCGGAGGCTTTCAGAGGTACAGTGTCACCTAAAGAACTGTCCTTCTGGTAGCCGGGGGTGTCCGGCAGACAGGTTAATCGTGAGCCCTCGACCCTCGGCTGCCCTGCGACACAGCTGGCACCAACCTGCCGCACAGGGGCACGTTGCATTCTGTGTCTGGAGGCAAAACGTGAGATATTTTCAATTTCAAGTACAATACATCTGCTGAAGCGTGTACCTAATCCCTTGCGCTTCACAGATGGGATGCAACGAAGCTCTGTTCCTTTTCCACCTTCCTGGTATCGCTGGAGTTATCTGCGATGCTGTGAAATAGCGCAGAATATTAGTGATTAACGCAGCTGCAGTGCCATAGCGGGAGGAGAACTGCTTTCAGGGGGAGGTAGTGTATTGGCAGCTACCTTAGAGCTCAGTTCTGACTCTTTATTAATTTACTTAGCTCGCAGTGCCCTGCAAAGGTGTCTTTCCGATTGCCCCGGGCACCTTTCCAGGCCATTAAAAACCCAGTCAGCTCAAATGACCGCGCCAGGAGCTGTGCCTCATCCCTAACCCTTAAACAATTAACCCGAGATGAAATGAAGCCAGCTCCAGCTTGCCATAGCCCTCCCCCTTGCCTGGGTGCTGCTACCAAGCGTGCAGCGCGCCCGGGGGGGCTGCCAGCTCCCTGCCCCCCAGCGCAGAGCTGCCCCCCCGGCCTCGGCTCTGCCCCCTGCGCGGGGGCTGCTCCAGGGAGGACGGGACTGGGGCTCAGCTTTGCTGCCCCGGCTTCTCCAGCAGCCCCGGGCACTGACACCGCGGCCCTCGCCGGGCCGGCAGCAGGGATGCCCTTGTCCTGCCTCCTCCGGAACTTTGTGTTGGCTTAAAGTTGCTCTGCGCTCGGCCGGATGACGGAGGTTCGAGCAGAATTGCCTTGTCTCACATGGGAGACACCAAGAAATACCAAATCCTTGGTCTGCCTCAGTCGCTTGTCCCAGCGGTTGATCCTATCTCCCTGTTGAGAAGCTGTTCCTCATTTGAATTTGTTTCTCTTTGAGCACTGTTAGCAAGGTGCCTGTGATAAACTGGGCTCTCCTGGTTTTGCTGGTACATAAAAGTCTGCCCTTGGGTTTAAGAAAGCCCAGAATATTAAAGTATACCCTAAGCAGCTTGCTTGCCTAGGAGCGTGCTGGGGAGGGTTGGCACCAGCACACAAAGATGTTTACTGGGTAGTCTTAATATAGATGGAAACCATGGGGGTTTTTCTCTGCGTTACCCCACTGGGTTGACGTGGAAGTTGAGTAGCGTCCAGCCCTTATGTTGGTTCTTACGTACCGATTTCACCTGGTGTTTTCTGTGCTGAGACCAAGTTATTTAAAAACAATAAATCCCCAGACAAGCCAGTGCATTTCTTTTTCATTGTTATGGCAACACATATAAAGAGTAATAAAGCTGGATCTTGGCGACTGTTGGAAAAGGTCCACATCAGTCGGTGGCAGTTGACTGAAGTCCATTAACAGCACCTCCGAAGCCAGCTGGCATGTGAAATGTGGAGAGCGGTGGGGCCTTGCCAATATTTAATGCAAGTTTATAATCTTTTATCTTTTATTTTCCTCCTAGGATCCCCGGAGCAAACACAAATTTAAAATCCACACGTACTCCAGCCCCACCTTCTGTGACCACTGCGGGTCGTTGCTCTACGGGCTCATTCACCAGGGGATGAAATGTGACAGTAAGTGACGAACCTGGGGGCTGAGGTGGCAGAAGTGGGGGCACCCCGAGGCCTTGGGCAGGGGCTCCCAGCCCGTCTGCACTGCGGCCCAAACCCCGTCCCCTCTGTCACCAGTGCAGAGCCTGCCGCTGGCTCCGAGGGGCTGGGCACGACTGGGCACCTTCTCGCCTCTCATGAGGAGCCCCCCCAAGTCCTGGTGTGAGAGGGGAGGGCAAGGGGTCTGGCTGGGGGGATCCTGCCTGCATCCCCCCTGCAGCATCACCCTCGTCCCCTTCATCTCCCCTCCCTCAGCACTGCCCTCATCACTCTCGTTTCCCCCTCAGGATTGTCCTTGTTCCCCCCCTCGGCATCTCCCTCGTCCCCCCCTCAGCATCTCCCTCGTCCCCCCCTCGGCATCTCCCTCGTCCCCCCCTCGGCATCTCCCTCGTCCCTGT